TTAGTCACATCAGAAATATCGAAACCCCATGGGCATGCGGTCCGGATGTGGGTCTCAACACATGTAACGAAATGAATGAAAAGGCCGCATGCCGCAGGTATTCGTGCCTACTTAGGCCTGCGCGACGCCCACGCGAGCGCAAGCACGGCGCGACCTCCAGTTCTCACACATACGCCCTACTTGGCGCTGGCCCTCAATCGCCTCACGCCATCGAAAGTCGCATTCGAGACACACATCCGCGGCATCACAACACATCAGAACCGGGCATTCCCCATGAAGACCCTCGATTCCACAAGCACCCGTTCGAGACACAAGCGGAATCACGGCACATCAAAACCAGCCATTTCCCGTGTAGACGCTGGATTTCACAAGCACCAACTCGAGACACAAGTGGCATCACAGCACATCAAAACCAGCCATCCCCCATGTAGACGCTCAATTCCACAAGCACTCGTTGGAGACACACATGCGTGGCATCATTGCGCTTTGGCGGAATCCCCTGTTGCAAGCTGGATCGATGCGATTCCACAAGCACCTGTTCGAGACACACGTTGTATCACGGAACAGCAAAACCAGCCATTCCCCCTGTAGACGCTGGATTTCGCAAGCACCATCTCGAGAAACAAGTGGCATCACAACATATCAAAACCACTCATTCCCCATGTAGACGCTCAATTCCACAATCACTCTTTCGAGACACACATACGTGGCATCATTGCGCTTTAGCGGAATCCCCTCTTGCACGCTGGATCGATGCGATTAAACACAACGCGATGCGACTTAACCGTTGGACTTGTAGGGCTCAGAGTTTGGACTTGCCAGGCTCAGAATAGAAGTGAGATGATTTCACCACTCAACAAAGAAACCCAGATTTGCGACACGCTGAATGCAGGCATTTTTGAGAGCTACAGATATTGAGGTTGTTCCGACTTGGGATTGCTTCTAAAACTCCTAGCAGATCACTAGCAAGATGCATCAGGGAGCCGATGTTTTCCGTTCTCTGGGTCGCCGACAGCCCGGGCCGATAAGACCACAGGGTGGCGTCGCGAGATCCAGAGGTTGGCAGGCGACCGTCGGCTTGCAACCCGCAAACTCGATGCGCCACTGGCAATTTAAGTCCTGGTCGACGGAAGGTTTGAGGATGTTTGAGGGTTTAGGGCTTAGAAAGGGAGGGGTCATGCAAGGAAGGCCCTCGTGCTACTCACCGGGCGAAGCTGACGTCTGTGGATAAGCGATGATCAGAGCCTGCGCTTTGCGGCAGGAGCGGACTAGTCCGAGTGGCGAGGGAGCATGTCACCGTCAGGTTGCCGGCATGCAGCTCCTGACATAACCAAGGCATGCCCTTTATAGGGCCACAAAGAAGACTCTGGACTCCTTAGCCAAAGCCTTGAGAGCATAACAGGAAAAGGCCATCGACGACAAGTGGCTGCGCAAATGAAGTAGCCCTCCCGCTCGATGCGCGCACGTCGTCCGGACAGAGGGTCAGTAGAAAAGGTTGACACCGCCAAACCGTCTTCACGCACGGCTGTGAAGCTAACGTTGTACTCCTGCACGAAGCACCAGACTGGATACCACGGCAAGCTCCATGAACGATATCTGTCCTATGCTTCCCTGTGACTCTGCACTGCGTGGGTTTGCAGCCGGGACCTCCGGCAGCTCTTCCGGGATGGGGCAGTCGAGGAAACAGTTCCTGGCTTCGGGGGGCGTCTGCTTTCATCTGGGAAGTGGCGGAATCTGGCGGATTCAGCTACGGCGCGGCATCTGCACATCGACAAGGGTGTTGGCATCGGTGTTGGTGGACGGGCAGTAGCCAACTGCAGGCCCCCCTCCCATCGGCACCCGGCAGAAGACCTGACACTGCTGCCCAGGTCCAGGCATGTACGCTACATCTACTCGGAAAGAGGAACATAGTCGGTGAACTACGGCATGTCACTTCAAAGCACAACAGATTGCGATGCATCAGCCCTTGCCACTGCTTAATCGATCAGACTACACTTTACAAGCATGCATTTGCACATACGTTCAAGAGCACTAGATGGTGCAATCTAGCTTTAACCTACTACCCGACAACGCTTTGCTACATGATGCAGCAAACTACAAAACAATCCAGGTTGGTGTCGTGTAAGTGGCCTGGCAAGTTCCCCCAGCGGGCACCATACTGCAGTCAGATGTGTCGTAGTCGCAGACATCGCCTGGGACTTCTGCAGATCCCCAGACACGGAAAGGCGGAGCACAGTTTTGCCGGGGAGCTGGGCGGGAACCAACAAGGTTGAAGTTGGACACACCCCGTCAACTCCGTCCTGAGCTACCATGCACGTCATCATCATTTCCTTGCAGAAAGCCCCAAATCCTTCCAGTCCTGGTGATGCAAATCGCTTCTCCGCCAGAGAAGAACCGGTCCATGTAGCAGCTGGCAGAAGCGATGCCGGTGTAACCTCTCGCGCTGTGGTCATACACCGTGTTCACACTTGGTGAATCTTGCCTGGTGCACATGTCCAGGAGTCTGATCCACGGATGTAGCCTGCCAAGCATGTAGTTCCGGCAGTTAAGGGTTCCAGTGATCCTAAAGCAAACCAGGCATCGCCCTGCCTTCAGGTACGGGGTCCGGCTCCGGGCACAGAAGCGCGCAATTCGGTCTCTCGAACTGTAGGGGTTCCAGGGGATCCACGTTCCTCAACTGTTTCCACGCACTCCGACCCTTTCTCCCAAACGCTTTGGGTGCTCGCGTCTGAAGAGACTTGTAGTGTTCTTGAGACAAAGTCACTGCTCCCTGCAGCTTGCCATGGTGCTGTTACCTCCAGACAGAGTCGCAAAGGAGCTCGGACGAGCTCGGACTTGGGGTTCCGTCTTCGGGGTTAGACCCTGGCGACCGAGCCTACGTAGGGATCTCGGCAGGAGACATTGCAGGTGGTTCCGGGCGTCAGTTGGTCACAACCTTAGAATCACATCGTGTTCATAACCGCTGTCTGTTCGAAATGCTGGGGGGCAAGCCATGGACTCGGAACTCTAAGCTCTCGCCTATCACGCTTCTTGTGGACGTCTCTCTTCCCACTCTAGGAAGCAGGCCGGTGAAGTTGAACTGGCATTGGTCGAAAGCTCGCGGATCCGGGGTCAGGCAGGGCACGATCGGCAGGCAACCGGAGAGCAGAAGGATCCCAGTGCACGAGGAATCAGCATAGCAGGAACTGACCTGGCGACTCCCATCTCTCTGGTCTTGACGGTTTAGGGTTTAGGGTGTTGGGTTGTAGGTTTTGCACCTCCAAGCTGGGCTGCCACTTAAAGAAGTCAAGACACCACTGTCCCAAGGTAGCCGGTCGAGTTGCACTCCCAGCCATCTGCAGTCTCCACGTACGCCTGCACTTAGCATAATTCATTGCGACGTGGGGGTATCTGTACAGCACGAATGCCAACATAAAAAAACGAATAGTGCAACTGCGCTGCAATCGGCCTGAGCCCTAGGACCTACCCGGTAAGTTCAGACCTCCGTCAAGTTGACGGGCGGGTCGAGGCATTGAAGGCTGCAATTGGGCAGGCTGAAGTTTGGAGCAATGTTAAGCACCAGGTTGTTCTCATCACCTCGGCTGGCAGGACACGACAGGAAGATCGACAGATAGATTTTTCGATAGACGAATGCATGACAGATACAGGTAGGTAGAGGTAGGTAGGTAGGTAGGTAGGTAAGGTAAGGTAAGGTAAGGTAAGGTAAGGTAAGGTAAGGTAAGGTAAGGTAAGGTAAGGTAAGGTAAGGTAAGGTAAGGTTAGGTAGGTAGGTAGGTAGGTCGGTCGGTCGGTCGGTCGGCCCGGAAGAAAGACAGACAGATAGGTAGATAGGTGGGCAGATAGACACGTTCACAGATAGAGCAGATGGAGAGATACATGGATAGACAGATAGACAGACAGACAGACAGACAGACAGACAGAAGGACAGGCAGGCAGCCTATGGATGGATAGATGGATTGATGATGATGATGATGACGATGATGATGATGAGGATGGTGGTGAGGATAATCATGAAGATGACGCTGAGGTTGATGATGGTGCTGATGGTGATGGTGATGGTGATGGTGATGGTGATGGTGATGGTGATGGTGATGGTGATGGTGATGGTGATGGTGATGTGATGGTGATGTGATGGTGATGGTGATGGTGATGGTGATGGTGATGGTGATGGTGATGGTGATGGTGATGGTGATGGTGATGGTGATGGTGATGATGATGGTGACGATGATGATGATAATGATGATGATGATGATGACGATAGACGAAGAGCTAGATGGGCGAATAGATAGCTGGAAAGAAGGACTCGCAGATATGCACGTATGTGCATATACATGTACACATATCACACATACATACATACATACATGCATACATACATACATGCATACATACATACATAAGTACGTACGTACATACATACATACATACATGGATGTATGTATGTATGGATGCATGCATGCATGCATGCATGCATGTATGTATGTATGTATGTAAGTGTGATATGGCTACATGTACATGTATGTATGTTTGTGTATATATATATATAGATACACATAGAAAACATAAGAGTGCCCCCGACCTCCGATGACTGAGCTCCCAGCAGGTCGCATTTGTGGAGTTCCCATAGAAGGGAGCTTGGCAGTCCAGTTGGCAGGTTTCTCCGGGCAGCAGCTGGGTGGGGCAACTCGAAACCTGGAGCTGGGTTTGGGGTTTAGGGCTTAAGGGGTTTAGGGCTTAGAGTTTAGGGGTTTAGGGCTTAAGGAGCTTATGGGCTCAGGGGTTTAGGGTTTAAGGAGCTCTTCCGTGCTTGGCCCATGAGCGGCTTTACCCTCTTGGTCTTGGGCCCCGGCATACTCACAGCCACCGGGCAGCGCTGGAGCAGAGCACGGCACCTCAACAAAAGCCCAAACGGAACAGCAGAAGTCTCTAAGAAGAATACTAAATTGCTGATAATAGTGGTGAAAATCAGTGAAAATACGGATATGAGTGTCAGTAGTCATAAACATCTACGAGTTGTCAGCAGGCCTTGTCGACTCTACGACTGTCTCGGCACGAATGCTGCCAGGGACTAGATGCAGCTGAAAGCTTTGAAGAGCTGTGAAAGCATGGACTCCAGCGTCAGAACACTTCATGCAGCGATCATGGCTTACAGCTTCAGACGAGCAACCTTCTCCTCGCAGCCACTCAGGGTGAATCCTGAACAGGCTCAGAATCGCACATCCCGCCGGAGTCTCTTCCGAGGAGACTTCAAGACCCCTGAAATCCAAGGAGCGCATCACGCAGTTCCGATCGGGGCCACAGCTTGGCACCGCCGTGCCGAGGTAGCCGTCGGCGCACGTCCAATTGCCGCCAGAACGATTGTACCCTGCGGTGCCGCGCAGAATTTATCCATGGAGCGACCAAGCAGAGTCCAGGAAACTGCCGGAAAAAACCACATGCTCCAAAGTTTGCGATCTTGGCAAGACGCAGGACATAACCCGAACTGAACATCCTGCAAGCATCATTCGGCATCCACACTGAGACAACGCTTTCCCAGGCCTTGCGGTGGCTCTGACGGTTCGGTGCACTGTGGCTCGCAGCTTGGCAGCACAGGCACCACAGGAGGACGCAAAGGATCCTCGGCTTAGACATGAGACCACCGGTGAAACTGAGGATAGTCCCGAAGACCCGGACACAGTTTGGGCAGGGTGCCGTGTTGTCCATGGGGCAGGTCCCAGTTGTCGGATCACCCAGGAAGGATGGAGGCTTGCAGCGGAACTCACACTGCTCGCCAGGCAGTAGCCCGGGAATGCAACTGTGTATGTACCTGCTTGAAAAATGGGACAGGACAAGAACGGCATACCGCACCCATCAGTAGCTGTACCTGCCTGCAGGGGTCGGGATTCTGCATGCCCGCGCAGATGGTCAGTGGGCCGCAGCCACTGAAAACGTAGCTGGCGCTGCAATTATTCCTTGGATCGAAGTCGAACGGCTCACTGACACATGCAAACCAAGCTCAAGCAGATCGGAACCTAAAGTTGAAGCAACTTCACAGGCAGGGTGCTCCGGATCAATCAAGCAGGTTGTCGTCGCATTGCCACCATAGCCCGCGGCACACGTCCAGCCTCCCAAGCAAGACTGCAACGGCACGTGCAAAGCCTCCAGGAAGCGCGTGCTTCGGAGCCCTACTGCCGTCTTGAAGTGCCAGTCCTGTGGCATTTTCACCTCCCGGGCATGTGCCGGCATCCTCACAGCTCGCGAAGCCCGTCGGAGCCTGACAAGCAGCGCCCATGCCGGAAGTGTGCACCGCAAGAGAGCCCCCGACGAAGGAGGCGAACATGGCACCAAAAACGTAGCCAGGACTGACATTTGAGCCGCGTGACTTCAACATCCTCCAGGTACATGCACAGGGACTCGCACTCCGGGAGGTGTATCCTTGCAATTTCGCAGGCTCATGGCGCTCCCAAGGCTTGGCGGCAAGCTTCTGCCCGAACCCACAAGGCCCCCGAAACCCTCTGAGCCCCAGAATCCCCCTTTGCCTCAGCCTTACATCCACCGTCTCTGCCGAGGATCTCCGGGGGTGCGCCCAACTCCGTGTTCATCTCTGGACAAACCGCCATACCAGGGGCACCTGGCCGGGGACGGAAGCCTCTCAGCAGCTCTTTAAAGAGACCTCCAAGGTTGTGGATCTCAGGGCCTACAGTCTGGGGGTTCCAGGGTTTAGAATCCCTAAACCCGGCAGCCCTAAACCCCAAATCCCCAAACTCTGAATTTCAGAAATCTCTAGGGTTTGGGGGTGGAGGGAAGCTCTGGCGAGCCGGCAACCCCAGCTTCTCTGCACCTCGCGTGGGCTCTCGGCAGGATATCCTGGGAATTTGCCGGTGGCTTAGGGTGCGGATACGCATGTAAGAGTGCCCTGACGAAAGTGCCCACAATGTTGGAAGATGTGTGGCATTCATGGGTTCGAAACCATACCTGCGTATTCCCATAAACCTGCAAGCTTGTTAGGATGATGTGACGATGCACTTGGGTATGCTGAACTCAATAGTGTGCCTTCTCTTATACGCACGAGCATCACGAGCAACCTGCACAATCCAACAGTTAGCAATGTGACAAGACTACCACTCGTATCGTCCTGAACGTTGAAGCTTCAAATTTTCGGTCAACCCCTGCACCGTAAGCCACATTTACCGAACCCTCTGAACCTTCAGCCGTCAAGCCTAAAACAAAAAGAAAACCCAAAAATCCTAAACCCCCAACACCCAACCAAAGCCCCTCCCCCCAACAACAACAGAAACCTCCAACAGACCCTAGACCCTCTGAAAACACCTCGTAAAACCATGACCGTCGAGCAGCGGGCAGGAGCCGCCAGGAGCCATATCACACACGGCGGCCTGGTGATGCAAAGACTTTACGAGGCTCTAATGAGGGCCTAGATAGGGGTTTCCATGAGGGGACATTCTTGGGGGGCTGTTGGGTTTAAGGATGGGTTTACGGGTTTTTGGGGTGTGGGGGCCCTTTAGGGCTTGCGGGGTTGTAGGGTCTCGGGGTTAGGAGAGAAGGTTTCAGGAGTTGGAGCTTCGGGAATTTGGGCTCGGGGCCCGCAGCACAGGTTTCAGGGCTTGGGGAGGTTCGCATTCTGGATTTTGGGTTTAGGGGAAGTCGCAGCCTCCATTAGCCGGCCTCGAATCGGCAGAGATCGACAACTGGAGCACCGCATGGAGCAACAGGAAGGCACTCGGAGAGTTCATACTCGCCTCTGCATAGCAACACATTCGGTCTCACAAGGAGTTTGCTGTCAAAATCTGTCAGCGGTGCCACACAACTTGACCTGCCTACGCAGTCCTGCCGCATGACGCAAGTGGCCGTGGCATTCCCGGCAAAGCCATCTGCACATTGCCAGCTGTCCTGCCAGGCATTGCAGCTGCAACGGCCGACACAGCCATGGAACCAACACAGCTGCGCTCTCTCACCACGAGTAGGAAACTACTTCCGAATGATCTGGAACTCTCTCTGCAGATGACACGACTCCTGGAACTTGCAGGTACCGGAACTAGTGTGGATGCGCATGTGCAACCCGACTCCCAAGCGTCTCTTTATCCAGGTTTCGTGCTCCAGCAACCCAGCAACCAGCTGGCAAATCTAAAAATAGATGGTGGGCGCTGAATGGAAGAACTGACCAGCTGTGATGTAATACTGCTCCCAACAACCCTAACTCCATGCTTGATCTGATTTTGCGGCGACAAACTTCGACTCTTGAGATGGGAGTGTCGGAAGAAACAGTACCCCTCCTATCGACCCCAGGTCGGATCCTTGTTGGTTTCGTGTTAGGGTTTAGTGTTTAGGGTTTAGGTGTGTTTAGGAAACCTGAACGCAACCGCTCTTTGATTGGCAACCCATTCCTCGCTGGAGTTGGTGGCTTGCAGCTTGACAAAAGGTTCCGGAATGGGCTCAGGATCAATGCAGTCTTCGAAAACACATAGCAGCTCCATCATGTCGAACTCCCGTCCTGCCAACTTAAACAATGGTGGTTTAGGGTTTAGGGTTAAAGGTCCGTAGGATTTGGTGTAGGAATATGTCGGAACGGCAACTGAGGGCTTCTAATTGTAACATCTTGCCCTTGGCCTGCTATGGTGTTCCCAGCAGGGCATGAGCCCATGACTCCATCGCTGGGTACCAGTGAGGGCTCCAGAGGCCACGGAATTGTTGCGTTGGACATGTTGCTGACGAAACTGCGATTGCTGTCGTTGCTGAAGTTGCTGAAGTTCTCGTCCTCGTCCTCCTTGGCTCACACGAGGCTACGTGGCCCAATAACTTGACGTGCCAAACGCGGCGCAAACAAGCGCACGAAAGCTCGAGACCTATTGGGCTTTGGATGCTGGCACCTCCTCATGCTCCATAATAGGCCGGATGAAGCCAGCATAACTTGCCTGAGGTCGGCACGACAGAGCAACACAGTGCAAAGGCAGCTGTGGCATGAAGCTCCCTAGCTACAGTACAAAGGTGAGTCATTGGACCACTCTTTGGGAACCCCCCAGCATGGAGCATTCAAAAAAAAGGACGGCAAATGTGACAAGGGTTACTGTTCCGGCCTAGCTCTTGATTGTGAAGACACCCAACTTCCAGCCCAGGCAACTCTTCAGGCACTCCAGAGAGGGACCGAGACCGCATGCCCAGCCTTGCAGGTGACCGTGCAAGACTCGCCCGGACCCAGCTCCAGGCACTCGGAGAAGTTCAGGCTGCAATGTGCCTGGGTGGCACCCGACATCGCCACTGAAGAATCCCCGGATGTCTGTATCAGACGGGCATGCTTGCTGCAGTTACAGAACTAAACGCATGCAAAATCGACCTGCATATGAGAAAGTCCAGTACGAAGCAAAACATGCCAACTGTCCCGTGTATTCAGCAATCGGATATGCCGAAGAAACACTGGTGTTGGAACTGCGCATGTGTAGATTCCTGATTATAGTCGATTCGAAACTACGACTCTCGTTTTCGACCAATGTGTCGCCAGCGCACCCAAATGAAGTCGTGCAGGAAGCAAACAGGTCAAAGTGTGATCCCCACGTCTGTGCACTCGCGAGCAAAATGTTTACAAGATGTTCGCGCTAGGACCAGAGACGCGGAGACCTGTTCCTTCAAGGCTGCCGAAGGCACCATGGAAGGAAGTACGCATGGTTCCAGTTTCAGGCACCCTGACAGCACCTGTGCCACGCCACACTCCGTTTCATTGTCGAAGATGCACCTGCAGTGTCTCTGAACACGAGCACGAAACGGATCAAGCACAATGACTATGGGCAGCGAGTCAGGCCCCTTGCCTGGATACTGCTTGGCCTACGTAGCCCGGGGCACAGCGCCATTCATCCAAGATGTCCATGCCAGGATCACCCGCACGAACCAGCTCATATCCCACCGGAATGGGATCTGGCATCGGGCAATCCTCCGCAATGCTGAATTCGGTGTCTCAAACAAATTCAGATGAGCATGGAGCCAGGGACAACAAAGCCAGGTGTCAAGGATGCAAACAGGAGGGGGCCAGTCGACTGGCTGATTCGGGTTGATATTGAAAGTGGGACACCTCGGTGCAGCAGTGCTGTATTCCACGCTCACCCGAGACTGCTCGCCTGCCTTGCAAATGTGGGATCTCCAACATAAGGTGCTCGGCATCTCACCTCGCCTGAGCAAAGCGAGAACCTGGCGCTGCTGGAACAACCCACACATTGGACAGAAGCCATGCACCGAGGGCTGGGCAGAAGCTGTTCGGCACCATTTCACCGCAGTGAGAATTGTCAAAAATGCAACTGTCCCAAACCTCCATTGCCTGCAAGTCCACTTTCCAAGATCTTTTATATAAGCAGACGGTAACGGCACCGCCTTGACTTGCAAGCCAAAAACATACCTAGGACTTTCGCCACAGGTCAGGCCTCCAGCGCCACACATGACTGCGGGATGCCACATCCGGACAGAAAGCCATCCTAGAGGAAAGCTGCATCTCTTTTTACAGGAGTCAAGCTGTTGCTGCGCTCCGTGCATCCTCTGCCAAGGCCATGCAAAACTTGCACATGCGATACCATTGCAGGTCCTGAACTTCGCAGGCTGGCCAGTCTTCATCTACTGGCAGTACGGACGGCGCACTTTCGCAGCGCCTGAGGACATGTAATCGCTTCCCATGATCGTTCTTCAACAGCCCCCGTAAGTTTCCGAGAGATTTCGAAAGCCGAGGTCTCCACTTTGCAGCGATGCCGTTCATGCCCTCCGAGCAGCGCCAGCCCACCGGAGATCCGGGATCCTCGAGACGAACAGCTCAACGAGTTCTACGGCTAAGGGTCTTGGCCACGTTGCGCTTCGCTCCAAAATCCCCTGCCTGTGTGTAGTTGGGGCTGTGCACTTCAGGATCCGGGCACTCGAAGAAGCTGCACAGCGGTCTCGTCCAAGTGGCTTCTCCTGCTTAACACATGCAAGCACAAGAGACTGAGAGAGAGAGAGAGAGAGAGAGAGAGAGAGAGACACAAACAGACGGACAGACGGACATGTACATTTCCGTCTATCTATTCCTCTATCTATCTATCTATATATCTATCTATCTATCCATCTACCTACATATGTTGTTGTTATTTTGTTTTATTTATGTTGGTGTTTGTCTTTGCTTGCGGTCGCCGAAGGATATATGCAAATTGCACAGATGATCGTCCGGTCAGCGTCAAGAGCGCGTCTGGGGTGTGAGAGTTGGCAGTAGCATCCAGTGATGATGCAGGAGAGAGTAGCTGACCTGCATGCCCACCCGTCAGGAAATAGCAGATTCATGCCCGCCGCTACAGATTCTAGATGCTCCTGTGGCTGAAAAACGCAGGCAGGGAACTCCTGATCAATTATGGGTTAAGCAGCAACTGACTAAACGTTTCGAATGACTCTAAACTCTAAACATCTCATCCTCATAAGGCCCCCAGAATCAGACTTGTTGCAATCATGGATGACACCAATAGCTTCAACGCAATAATGTAATCCACATGGCAACCATCATCAATGGCGTTGAAGATACCAGCGCTGCAAAGACAAGCAATGAGACCAGAATGCACGTAAGTCTTGATATGCTCAACGAGCCAACACCCATTAAAATCATTGATGCATTCAAATCCAAAAAGAGCTAAAGAAAGCAAATAACCAAAAGCGAAAATTTGCATCCGAAAAACCTAAATCCGAAAGTAAAAAAAGAAATGACCGAATGTGATCCGAGCAGAGGACTCTACAGAAAAGCTGAGGTGTAGCCAGTCTCGGCAGGCCGCCCCCCCACCCCCCCTTCCCCCCTGCCCTGCCCAGCCCTGCCTCAGGCCTGCCCTTCCCAACAAGTGAGGACTGCAGGGCAGGGACGGAAAGTGAAACTGGCAGTCATAGGCGTAAAATGTGTAAACCACGAGCAGTACAGTGACTGCTGCCACTGCAATAAAGTAGTAGCAAGAGAAATTGCGATAAGACCAGTGGAGTTTACATAGTTCGCAAGACTCAAGCGGAAGCGAAAGATCTTCACCACAGATGTTGAGCGTTTTTTATTGGCAGGAACATTCCATACAGAAAGCCTTAAGGTGTTCCGCATGTTCAAAGTCATGATGCTCACGGCAGGAGTGAGCTGCGGAAGACCGCCAAGCCGAGTCGGGAGTAGAGGCTCCAACCCTAAACACCGACTCCAGTCTCAATCGCCAAACGGAAGCATCCACATCCACCACCCAGACACTGCACTGGGGGGTGGTCCATGAAGCCTCCCTAAACCCTAAACCCTAATTCCTGAACCCTAAACCCTAAGCCCTAATTCCTAAACCCTAAACCCTAATTCCTAAACCCTAAACCCTAAACCCTTGGTCTCCCTGTCCTTGTGGATCTGTGTTGTCCCAGGGGCACGTAGCCAGTCCCACACCGCCAGCATAGGGGAGAAGGCAATGAATCTCACAAAAGGAGCCTTTAGGGTTTAGGGTTTATAGGGTTTTAGGGTTTAGGGTTTATAGGGTTTATAGGGTTTAGGGTTTTATAGGGCTTATAGGGCTTATAGGGTTTATAGGGTTTATAGGGCTTATAGGGTTTATAGGGTTTAGGGTTTAGGGTTTAGGGTTTAGGGTTAGACAGACGAAACTCAGCCTGCCGGAGACTTGCTGTACATGCTACTCCCCCTTTCCTTCGGCCCACTGAGCTAGGTTCCCGGCTTCTGTAATTCCTCTCTTCCCTTCCAGCCCCTAAACCCTAAACCCTAAACAAACCCTAAACCCTAGTTCCTGAACCCTTCCAGCCTGGGGCCATTCGCTCGGGGCAACCCGAGGCTTCGAAGCGGCAGATCTCCTCTGGGCCGAAGCGTGGCCTCCCCGGCTTGGAGCTTTCGAGATGAGCTCATGTCCACGCTAGGCTTAGGGTTTAGGGTTTAGGGTTTAGGGGCTACCTTGTGGCCCATGGACCTTGCATTCTAGCACCCTCATACTACTCCTTCTACTACCCTTCGAGACTCCTTGTAGATGATACTTGTAACATAAGACATCTCCGGCCTCAGGCACGGGACAATGGGCCTGCAGCCAGTGAGGTGGAGCTCCGCACCGCACCTACGTCACAGACAAAAGCATCAGACCTTGCATACCTTCAGCCCTGGCAGCTGCATTCGGAATCACGTGCAGTCAAATTCCAGCGGAATCAGTTCTGGACCCAGCCTATAGCTCGGCTGGCACCCAGCAGAAGCATTACCTGCGAAACCCGGAGCGCAGCGCCACCCAGTCTTCAGCTTCTCCTTACAGTCCAGCAGGAATAGTAATCATAACATTAGTAATAATAATAATAACAATAATAAAAATAGTATAGTAACAATAATATAGCAGGAAGTGCAAGAAGTGCAAGACAGGAACCGATGCTTTACCCAATAAGCAGATTTCCGGCCGGGTGGCGTAGCCCACAGGGGCCGCATCACAAGCCAATCGACAGCTGGGCTCGCCCACGATCTCGGGCGGTTTCTCGTTGTCTGTGTTGTCCTCATCACAGATCCGCAGTCGCGTGAACTTAGTTGATGAAATATGCCAGAGGGGTGCCTTACATACGTGCTGCCGTCGAAGAAACGGAAAGGTTGCAGTTTCTTAATCACTCTATGCTCTTCCTGCGTGACAGTCGACCAACGAGGACGAGTCCACAGTCCTCCGGACAGAAGGCTCTCCGGGCTTCCCCGTGGAAAGGCGGACGGCAGACAATCTCACAGGATTGGCCCGGCTCCATGCCTGCCAAAGTCGTCAACGCCAGCGGCCAGCAGCACTATCAACATCATCAGAACAAGTACTAGTCAGTACCATTGCCATCACCATCCTCATCCTCAAAATCACTGCAGCCACCACATTGACCCCTTCTGTTCCTCGTACACTTCCTCCTCCGCCTCTCCTCCTCCTCCCCACTCTTCGGGATTCTCATCCTCGACTAGACTCACCTTCATCAGCTTCATCCTAATCATTATCTTCATCCTCATATCCTCATCATCCTCATGCTCGTTCGCTTCATCCCCCTTCTCGGAGTCACTGATGATGTCCCCACAGCTTAGCGTCCTCCGAATGATGAGCCGCACCTTGCTCCCAGCATTCAAAACTTACAACTATTTCTTTGTTAGCATGAGCACTACGAAACAAGTGCTATTCTTAGGAATCCTGTTTCAAAACAGCTCTTCGGGGATCTATGCCTTGGCACTGCGACGCATCGAACATCTCTGCATCCTCCACCACGAGTGTCCCACAAGGCTCCAGCTTTGTGCAACCTGTCTCCACACAAATTCCACTATGTCATGTGACGTCTCGTAAACTGCCACATCATGCACGTGGGATTCGCCATCTGCTCACCATGACGTGCATGATTGAAGTTCATGTTGTGACAACAAGACTACCATGACGATATCTTCCTGCTGGGATGATGACAATGCCGTTGACTTTCAGAAGAAATCCCAGCACAGTGGCACAGAAATGTGAGGAGTGAAGCTGCAGTCCAGTACTTAAGGTTAAGGGCGAGAACTACCGGCCAACCGAGATCACACCGCACATATGTCGAAGTGTTCCTGGCAAAGGTCGGAGCATGGCCCGGCCTGTAAGATTTACCACAGCCGTGCAGTTGGGAACCCACTCAAGGGGATAGGTCACCTCACACTCGGTGGATGCATTGCCGACGAAACCTTCGGCACAGACCTTGGATAGTAGCCAGGGGTCTCGTTAGATTCTGTGAGGTTCCCTGGGTTTCGCTGTCTCCGGTGAAACGACCCTGTCCAATTTCGAGGCAAGCCGCCCAGCCCTCCTCTGGATCCTTCTCGTACTCCACCGGTACTGGCTCTGGCTCGATGCACTTGGGCTTGCAACTCAGGTCCTCGGGCTACGACTCGTCGAGAGAGCGGCAAGAGAGTGGGACTCGGTTCATCTGAGCGACAAAGATCAAAGGTTGCATGGGGTCAGTGTTCCCCTCTGGACAGATGGCAACCGCCGAATCCGGTTCGTAGACGCCTTCAGGCGCACGGCAACAAAACTCTACACGGTGGCTAGACTACGCCCTACACCCTAAATCCGAAACTCAGGTTCGGGGCAGGCTCCGCCTTCGGGGCAGCGCACGACGCAGCTGCCTCCGGCAAAAACGCTGACCTGAGCCCAGAAGTTGCTGTCGCATCAAAGAGACAAGGTGCTTTCTCACCAAATGCAGTCCCAGCGGCACAGTCAGAGGTGTCCAAAAGGCAAGGATGATCCTTCATGGACAATAGGTGGTTGCAGGTATTGCGAGCGTGATTGCTGTGTTCTCAGATCAGAAACTTCAACTCATTTGTGCTGTTCCTGTGCCTGCGTATCCCGCGTATCCTTCTTCAAGAACAGCTATACTAGCTATACTTCGTGAAATGTAACGTCAACGGCATTCCATGTGTACCCTCTAGAGAACATTTGCCAGGAGGTTGATGCGTTTTCGCACATGCTTGGCAGTTGTTTGAGCGCGACTCGGGCAAAACCATCGACCCCTAAGCCTTATGTCGGGAGAGGTCTCAAGACTCTAAACGAGACATCTCAGCCCCGATACGCTCGAATCGACGCACCAGAAGCTTCTAGCCCTTTTACTTGCAAGGAACGCGGCACTCACTCCAAGGCTATGTGTCACTGCAGGCTTGGTGCGACTTTTTTGGGCCGGGCCTGTCGGGCCAGGATCTGAGTTTAGGAGCTAGAATGAGTGAGTGGGCCGCGACAAAACCCGCTCATCCTGGCATCGATACTGCCTCTTCCGGATCTCAGAGCCCTGTCTCTCAAGAGTCGCACCTGAGCAGGAAGGCAGGGCTGCAGCGGCAAGCAGCCCGACAGCTGCAGCACCTTTGGAGACTCGATCTTTCTTTGGTTTCAAGGTTTCGGGTTTAGGGGACACTCCGCCCCAGCTTCGGCCCCGTAAAACATCGGGAACCCCACCTCACCACAGTCTGCTCGATCAGCGCGTGCAAGGCCGTTATACCCCGGCGCACAGCCCCAGCCTGCAGTGAGTGCAAGAGTTTCTCAATCCTCATCGTGAAGCTTGCCACACGCAGCATCACAAAAATGCGGAATTGCATTTCAACTCAGTTGACAGGCCTGCCGCTGTCCGCATGTAGCCAGGTGGATAAGGATCGCATTCTGCTTGGCAGATTGGTGCAGTGAATTCCAACTCCCTCAGCTGCACTTGCCGTTGCAGCTTTTGGAGTTAGATGGACAGATAGATAGATAGATAAATAAATAGACAGATAGAGAGAGATGGATACGTAGATAACTAGATAGATAGATAGATAGATAGACAGATAAACAGATAGATAGAGGGAGATAGATACATAGATAAGTAGATAGATAGATAGATAGATAGATAGGTAGATAGAAATCTAAATAGGTAAATAGATAGCTAGCTAGCTAGTTAGCTAGTTAGCTAGATAGATAGATAGATAGATAGATACGTATACATATGTATATAAATATATAAGAGGTTGTATATAGTATTTATAAAGAAAGTGCTATATTTCTAATCTAGTCTGTGCTCTACTTCACAGTCTGTATATAGTATACTAAAAAGAGCTTGAGACCCGGCCTCATGGGATCGATATTGTCGGGCGCACAGGTCGCCATGGTGCTGCCGCCTTTGTAGGGCGCCCGGCACGTCACATCGCAGCTGAGGCCCGGCTCCACAGCCTCGGCTCTGGAAGTTTAATAGAATGTAACCCAACATAACGTAATCTGATATGATGTGAGGTGCATATAATGTAATCTAAAATAATGTAAGCTTTGTACAGTGTATATCTAATATAATATACAGTAGTCTGACAATATGTAATCAATCTAATATACTGCAATGTCATAGTATTAGAATGTGGTAGAAAAATGTAACGTCAAACATCTCGAAGTGGCTAGATACGACGGGATAATCCGGAACGGGCTTGAGAAGGGATCCAGGAATCGAAACCGACTAAGCCTATGCGTCTCCTCGTCTCCGGACAAAGCCTAAATTGCCATGCTATGAAAGCCGGATCCTTGCCGCCCTGGTGCCTCGCAAGGTGTCAAGTCCATCTTGCAGCTCTCACCGTCACTCACGGTGAGCCTTGGCACAGAGTGCTCGGATTATGCTGTTCGATGCTCTGCGACCTGTTCTTGGCCCGATGTGTAACAGTTGTTCGTCTGCTCAAAACAACTATGCGCAAGGTCAACCCGGTCTGCTTCCAGGTAACGGCATGCAGGGCAGCTTTCGCCTGCAGCCGTCAAAAAGTACCTTCGCAGCGAGCTTGCAGCGCAGAGTGACACGTACCTTGTTGAGCTGTAGACTGCGCACATGACGAGTCTATCGACTGCTCCTCTTGCAGCTTTGGGCGGAGCATCGCGGCAAGCCCTTCTGACCTATTTCTCCTACGGACTGATTTGGATGTAAGCCCAGCCCGTCCCATCGTCGCCTGGAAAGAGCAGTTCGAAAAATGTAGGCAGGTTCGGTTGACTTGGCCAACCCAGCCATCATCACATCGCCATTGCGACTCACTGCCTCAAGAGCACAAAAATCTTCCGTGGTTGAAGAAGATCTTAGCTTGGCCAAGATTCTCCCAAAAAGATCTTCTCGCCCATAGCCCTCCGGCAAGGTCGGCGGGTCTGGACACGCCATAATACACCGCGGCAGCTCGTCGAAAAGAAGCTCTTGGAAGGGGTTCACATTCAATCCCGGGCATCCTGAGAGATCTGAGCCCCGTCCGGTTGAACCACAACAGATTCCACAAGACGACTGCAACACAGCCTTTAGACGACCAAACTTCGAAGCTGCTGCCCAGCATCGAGCAAAACGTGGGATACCGCCGTCAATAAAGGGCGGAAGGCAGTTCAGCTGACATCGCTCGCCAGGAAGCACACCTGCGTGAGCCCCCCACAACTGCATGACTGGCCATGTGAACCGGCGATGCGCATGCTCCACTATGGCGCAAATAAGCCCACGTTTGCAACATGATGGCGGCTTGCCCCAATGTGCATGCAGAAACCGTGTATAAGCATGCACATGTACAGACATGTGTATATTTTACATCTACGTGTACATACACATTTACATCTACATTTACATGCCTACATACACATACATATGTATACGCACACCGTGTACAAATACATGATCTTTGCTTTTGAATATCAGGAGAATTGCAAATAGGCGAACCCGTGTCGAGACGAACAAGCTCCGATGGCATGACATGATGCTGAATAGAAAGATTCGCTGACCTGAGACCACACGCATGTATGCATATCTAATCTGCGGGCACTGCAAGCTGCAGCACCGCATCCAATACGCATCCGAGAATTAAGATTGAATGAAGGGAATTTCGGATCTAAGGCTCACGAAATCCCATTCAAGTCTTCCTCGGCATTGAACAAGATGATCTAAACGGTAATACCACAATATATGCCTGCTACGATGTGACAACATTCGCTGATGCTTTATGAAAGCCTTACCTAATGGCTTATGAAAACCTTGACAGTGAAAGACAGGATGCAACCGCCCGTTCTTCGGTGTTTTTCCTTGTTCAAACAGGTGCATGCTGCAGACACTCCATGGACTTGCTCACTTTCCAAACATTCTGCCTAGGTCAGAGAGAACGCAGGTGCACATATGTTTCTCTCTCGCTCTATGCACACACATGTGTTTGTATACATACATACATGCATACAGACAAACATGCACACCAACATACATACATACATACATACATACATACATACATACCTACGTACGTACATACGTACATACGTACATACGTACATACGTACATACATATATACATACATACATACGTACATATTATATGCGTATCGGTAAGCTTCATGACAAATAAACGTGTCTAGGTCCATGCGATTAAATGTATGTATGCATGCATGCATGTATAAATGTGTGTACAAATGCACATGAGTACTGAGGCATGTCTATCTCTCTGATTTTTTGGTATGAACTTACGCACGTGCGTGTGTATGTCTGTCTGCACGTATGTGTATCTACCTGCATGTTTGTCTGCGCATGTGTATATGTATGTTCGTATACACACACACACGTATATATATATATACATATATATATATGCATGCGTACATACGTACATACATACATACAGACATACACACAGAGATATACCTGCAATATAGACATACCTGCCTACATGTACATGTACATGTGTCTATGTGCATATGCGCATGCGTATACGAACCTGCAAAAGTACAGGGATACGGGCATGCGCATGTGCATGTATATGTAAATATGTACGTATATACATATGTCCATGTCTATGTCTACATGTACATTCATGTTTATGTCTATGCCACGTCCATGTCTATGTGTATGTATATTATATATACATACACATACACATATACATATATATATACCAAAAGTAAATATATATATATATGCATGCTATGCATGCGTGTGTAGTATGTCTGAAGGTATGTGTGTGCAAGCATGCATTTAAAAGCATGCATGTACGTAGCTATGAACAGTATGTATGCATGTATGTACGTATGCAGGAATCTGCATGTACGTATGTATGTATGTATGTACGTACGTAAGTATGTATGTATCTATGTATGCGTGTGTATGTGCGCATGCAAATGTATACCTACGTATGCAGCTATGCATGTATGCATGTATGTATGTATGTATGTATGTATGTATGCATGTAATTGGGTCGGTGTGTGAGTATGTGCGTGTGTGCATGCACATATGTACGCGTATACGTATATGTATACAAATGTGCATATGTATATGAATGTGTACATAATTATTTATATATGCATGTACATATGCATGTGCATATGTACATGTACAAAAACATGTACATGTACATGTCTGCAGGTGCTTTGTTCGTGTGTGTGTGTGTGCGTATACTTACGCGCGAACAGGTGAAGAGTGTCCATAAAGAGTTTGGAGAAATAAAAATGCGCAACCAGTGACATGAGCCTCTGCACTCGGTGAGGTTGTAGATGCAAGGATCTGGGGCCAAGTCCTCCACAGGTGGAATTCTGTGAACTAGTATTCCCGGTTCATTGTCAGCCGATCCACAAATTAGAACAAAGGACCTACGAGGCTGACTGCTAGTCAAGAAGAAGGACATAAGATCCGTGCTCCTGCAAGGGGTTTTGTATGACGCTGTTTATCCAGGCACATGTAATTCCTCTGTCGAAGTGTGCGACAATCAAGCAATCTGCTTCCACCCATAGCGAACCCCGATACACGGAACTCTGCAAATAATTCATGTCGGCCGACTATGCAACCAAACGCAGCTTCTACCAACGCAACAAGGTCATGCTAGCGTGAATCCAGCCACTCCACTTCAATCATGATAATAACACCTTTGCAGCGACAACGTCACGCCGAATGCACTTGTATCAACAACAGATACCTGAATCAAGACTCTCATCGTTCTGACGCCCCGCACTCCAAGAACCATCCCCAAATCGTTTGAAGCTTACACACACCCACACGAACATTACAGGTCCGTCAAGCCTTTGCGGGCGAGTCTGCATGAGACTTCGGCCTAAACTTGACTGAACCAACATTCCAAAAAGCCGAAACTCGCCGAAAGACGAAACCTGGTCTTGGCTTTGCCTGCGGCAGCTCTAAGTCTGCGCATGGCATTAGCGGATAGCACCTCGGACAGCAAGCCGTCATGCCTCTGCCGTTACTGATACTGTTGTAGGCGAATAAGAAGTACTTGAAGAGAACGAAAGTATGAAAGCCAGCCACGAACCGAACGGAAAAAAACTAAAGCAGTGCGAGGCGAGCGGTGCCGACGACTTTGACATGATAGTCGCCCATTGACTCCAATGTGCGGCAGCGCGCATATAACCAATGCTGAAAATTGATGGACTTGGTGAACCTGTCAACTCCGAAACTTGGACCGTAAACTTTTTCGAAGAATCTGTCCCCCAGCCTGACCTGAGTCGAAGTCGAAATCGAGGCAATGACGAGAAACTTCAACGAAACAGAAGTGTGGAAATAAGGGTCCATGACTGCAAATATGCTGTATCACCGTTGTTGATCATGACGACGAGGATAGGGATGACGATGACGAATTTGATGAACATGAAGAAGAAGTTGAAGTGGAGGAGGAGGAGGAGACGGAGAGGAGGAGGGGAGGAGGATGATCAGGACGGTGCTGATGATGACGACAATGATGATGATGATGATGATGGCCATGATGATGATGATCATGATCATGATCATGATCATGATCATGATCATGATCATGATGGTGATGGTGATGGTGATGGTGACGGTGATGGTGATGGTGACGGTGATGGTGATGGTGATGAGGATCAAACGTATTCAATGATGATGACTCCTTCACATGATTAGGACGATCACGGCACAAATTGGAAATCGTCGTCGCCGTCGACACCGTCGCCGTCGTTACACTTCATCGTCGCTGTCACCACCGCTGCCGTCGTCGTCACCGTGACCGCCATCGTCGCCGTCGTTATCGTCGTCGTCGTCAGTCAGCATTGACTTGTCGGTTGCCTCTGCATAGGGCTTAGCAACAAACACCTTCCTCTGCGACGAGAGAATTCTTTCCTCTTGAGTCCTCCCCTGTTCGTCCTTCGCCACTCGCCATCAAGCGACCCCTGCAGTTCGACACGCCGCTGGCAGAAGGGAGCTCCATCGAAGACACAGATCAGCTCTGCGGTACCGGCGTAGCCTGACAAGGCCAGCAAACTCTTCGTGGCACCCTCAACACCCTACAAACTACCACACTCTCTACGAGATCCCCACACTGTGCCCAAACAGCCAGGCAACCTGGAGCGCATTCCCAGATGTCAGAAGTGTTCACATAGCCGTACGGCAGTGGATCCGGAGGAGGACAAGGCAGGTCGCACTGAACTTCTCCGATGTCAGGCTCACCTCAATCTCTTGCAGCACATTCATGCTCCGAGCCTCTAAGCTCATCAGAACGAAGCAAAGAATATGAAAGCCCGCGAAAGAGCCGATGATCATAATTCGAACCTTCCCCAAAACCGAGCTTCATTAGCCCTTTCTTCGGGGGACGATCCGGCTGCGTGTTGTCCGCGGGACACCGGAGCTCATGGCCACGACCCACAAAGGGTTCCACGCAGGGCGCCCGGCAGACTTCGCCCGGAGCCATCTCCAGGCCTTCAGGGAGTCCGAGCTGGGAGCCGCCACTGATAGCAGAATCATCACCGAATCCATGGGTGAGAATGATGTGATCAGCAAAAAAAACCCACCAAAGATGGCCCGCCGGGCCAAAACCACACTGGAACTGATTCATCTCCAAGTCGCAATCTTGGTAATCCTTGGAGGCTTGCAGCAATGGACATGCCGTGCGGCTGCCACGAATCTTTCGCAGCACCGCGTCTTCCCCAAGTTCGCTCTTGGGAGGATTTGAGGCAGATTGCAGGTCTTGGGGATCTGGGCGCGCAGCCATGGGCTGAAAAGGGCCACGATCCGACACAAACAGAGCCTTCTTGCCAAGAAGCCAAGCGCTGGCAGTCTTGCTCCTGCCGGCTTGTGCCCTTGATTCATAATTGCTGTTGCTGGGCTGATCAGACACATTGAATTTGGAGACAGTCTGTTTCTGGGTGGATTCCACTAGATTCTTTCACGCTGTATTGCAACACATTCGCTAGGCTTCAAGTCCAGCTTCATGTCAGCCACTCCACGTTGTCCCGCCTCCGTGAAGCGGCAACCCACGATAAGATCGCACCCAACGAGATCTGCTGGACGAATGGCGCAGTCGTCCTGTTGCTCTCTCAAGAACCATGCGTGCTACTTTCGCCGTCGAAGCTGCCACCATCTTGCTACAGGCGCCACTCACCTGCCACCCTGCTCACTCCTGTGGATCTGTGTTGCAGCGCCGCACTGGACGACCTGCACAAGGTGCTGATGGTGCACACATCCCTGATTCCGTGCCAAATGACCTCACAACGAGTTGAGTAGGAACTACCTATCCACCTGCCCTATCTTAACCCAACAAGGATGCTTGACGAATTCTGGTTTTGCATTGCAGCCAAATTCGACTTCCAGAATGGAAGATTGCCACCTTTGCTTCGAACATGCGGCCTTTGTAGCCGTCGGCACAGTGCACGTCTCCTTGCTAGCAGGGCCGACAGAGACAGAATACCTTCAGTAGGCCTGAAATGACGTAGCTTGGAATGGAAAGCACGAACTACAAGCTCTCATGTGTGTCCTTGAGCGTCTCGCACATAGCCTTGTGGAAGCTCAGTTGGGTAAGGGCAGTCGCTGAAGCTGCACCAGGGTGCCGTCCACTCCTTGGAGTGGGCGATCGACGATGCTTGCGTCATAAAAACAAAGGAGGATATGATGGGTGAAGTCCAAGCGGCCAAAACAACCCTAACCAAGCCCAGCCTTAGTGACCTGGAGTGGGAAGCGCCGGAATGCTTCTCGCAATACGGACATGGGCGTTTTTGACTTTCACCTAGCCATGCAGAGTGCCCCATGCTGTCTCTGGACAGAGCTTTGACGAACTTCATGCGCTCCATTCTGAGCGCAGGAATGCTTTACCATAGAACTCAACTTAGCTTAGGAAACAGCATGTGTGGGTGCGATCTTACATCATGACTCATGACCTGTGTCTAGATGTGCATAGCGCTGTCTCCAAAGCCGAACAGCTCAGGCGCTGGCCAGCGGTAGCCCTTCTTGTAGGTTATTCGAAGCACAGCGTGCTATTGTGCTGTTCCCCAGATATGGTGCCTGGCGAAAAAAACGAAAGCTCATACTGAATTGTTTTGCTCTCCTGACAAGATCTGCCTTGCAGTGGATTTCGCAGATGGATCCAGAAGGAAGGAAGCCACATCCTGCTTCTGCAGAAAACGTCGTGGCTCAAGACCATAAGAATCTTAAGAACAGGCGATTGAAACATAACAAGTACAACGTTTGAAGTAGAACAGGCATAGAACAACATTGAACAAGCACAACCATAAGAACTAACAGTTGTGAAAGCAATAGATGCGCCCAGCATCCTGAGAAGTCGTACATACAGGTGTCGATCCCCTCGGGCACCACGCAGGGTAGGCAGAGGGGCACCACGTTGGATGCATTCCAGTCCCGGCTGCATTGCAATTGCCGGTTGAAGCTGTCGCTGGCGACCAGCAGTGAAGCTACGACCTGCGTCCAGGGCCATGCAGGGGCGTAAATGATGCCGGCAACAAAACCCTTCAATGATCAGTCCGTGCGCCTCCAATAAAAGCCATCCTCGTCCAGGCATTGACACCAAGGTCACATCGCCTTGGCTCGATGCAAGCAACCAGGAGCACATCTCTGCATTTGCAGACGTCTGATCAAACCCTTTGCCGAGTGAGTTGACTAATATGAACCTGAATACGCCGACATGAACAACATGAAAAAACGCCACAGGGCTGATTTAGACAGTCGATCTCGAACAACTGGGGCCCACACGTAACAGCGCGCGCCCGGGCACAAGCACAGCATGCAGTGTGGGCACGTAAACCGAAAAAGAATCTCACAGTTGACGACGTTCAATGCTCTATATCTGAAATCTTCCGTCGACGCCTGCTGCAGCGCCAGCTCTCATTGTACAGTAGCTACGACTGTGTTCCGAAACGCTTGACGATCTGCATGATACATGTGCATGTCCGCTAACAGAAGCCTTTGATGGCAAAGACATCGCAAGTTGACCAACTGTCCTAACCAATAAGCAGACGAATGCGACAAAACATGTTGCTCGGGAACGATGCACATGTGCAAGTCACACTGTCCTTGGGCATGGTGTCCCTCTGCACATTCACATGACATGACCACAGATGCACCGTGCACTCTGCATGAGCCAGATCCTCTTGAATCCAGTCTGCACAAGATCAATTCAGCTTTCTCCGGCTTCCTTTTCTGAGAACCGCAGGAGACAACTCTCTGTCTCGGAGACTTCAGGGTACAAGGCTGCGCCTGCAAGCCCCAAGAGCTACTTGTCGCTTGTAGAGAGCGACGGAGTTCATCCTTGGCGACAGAAGGAGTTAAACTTGTCTGCCTTGCCAGCAGCACTGAAACAAAGCCAGCCTCAGGCAAAAAGTCATGACTCGACGCAGCTCAGAGCATCCCTGAAGCTGCGAAGCGTAAAGGACAGCAAAGCCTCCCAAGACTTCAGGACTCAGGCCCAGAGAGCTTCCAGTTCAGGTACTCCATGCTGGTCCACATCTCGTCTTCCGAGAGCGCCCGGTTCCAAACGATGACCTCCATGATGCCAAAGTCCGAAGACTCCGTAAAGTGGCCGTCGTTGATGTACAGGTGGGCATCTGGGCTTGACTTCACCGGTGTGTGCTGTCCAAGGTTCTTCCTTTCTTGGCCTCGGAAGACAACCCCTGCGCTGTTGCCACACAGCACCAACCAATCGGTCAAGCCCGTGAGCTGCCCCTCCTCGTTCACCCACGTGTTGTAATGCGTAACCCCCACTTTCCCATGCCAGTGGCCATGAAGCCAGTTCGGCTGGTTGTGCTGGAGAATTCTCTTCTGTACTCCTCCTTCGACATAGCGAGTGACCGAGCAGATGGTGAAGTCCTGCTTCATGATCTGGCCGAAGTCATATCCGGTGTGGACGTCGCCGGTGAGGTATGCGACCGGAAATTTGGCACCGTGCCCGGCCTCGACCTTTGTGGTGGGGCTGCCCCTCGTCGCGCGACCCTGCCAGCTGCCCACCGCGCTTTTCCAAGCTGCGCTGGCATCCTCGCTCTTGAACCAGGCCACCATGGACGACTGGTCAGCTGGTTGGGGCTCAAGGGGCCCGAGCTTCGCGTTCAGGTACTCCATGCTGGTCCACATCTCGTCTTCCGAGAGTGCCCGGTTCCAAACGATGACCTCCATGACGCCAAAGTCCGATGACTCCCCGGTATGGCCCTCGTTGATGTACAAGTGGGCATCTCCAGGCGACTTGAGTGCCGCGGTCTCTCCGACATTCCTCCTCTCCTTGCCCCTGAAGACAACCCCCGCGCTGTTGCCACACATCACCAGCCAGCCAGTCAAGCCCGGATGCTGCCGCCAATGTGGACCGTGAGGATGGGTCACCCAGTGGTTGTAGTGTGCAACCCCCACATGTCCCCCCCAGTGACCATGAAACCAGTGCCACTGATCGTGCTGGAGGATTTGCTTGTTTACTCCTCCTTCTCCTCCGAGGTATCGCGTGACGGAGCAGATGGTGAAGTCCGGCTTCATGATCTGGCCGAAGTCTATTCCGGTGTTGGTGTCGCCGGTGAGGTAGACAACCGGATATGTGGCGCCGTGCCCGGCCTCGACCTTTTTCGTGACGCTGCCCTTCGTCACACGAGCCTGCCAGCTGCCCACGGAGCTGTTCCAAGCTGAGTCGGCATCTTCGCTCTTGAACCAGGCCACCATGGAAGACTTGTCAGCTGGCTCGGGCCCCACAAGCTCGTCGTGCCCTGGCCAGAAGTCCTTCAACGCTGCAATGGCCGTCTTCTTCGTTTCGACAGAGATCCAAGGGATTGCGGTCAGGACGGCAGCGAACTGCTCTCCAATGTCAGCCAAACGAACTCTCCGACTTGGGCTCTGGAAGGGTCCGAAACCCATCTGGACACCCAACTCCACGACGTTGCCATCGAGGAGGCCTTGGATGTGGAAGTTCGACCTGCCCGAATTCCCCTTCAAGCTGAAGAGCTCGATGACTTCCTCCCCGTCCTGCTTGCGAGCCTCCTGCATTTTGCTCAACCGAAGCAGAGTGTCCTCTCCTCGCACCTCCCAGGTCCTATTGGGCTCCATGGAGTCGCCATAGTCGATGGAGGCCAGGTAGACTTCCTCGGGCTCTGTCCTCCAGTACCAGGACTCCGTCTTTGCACCACCGCCTTCTGCTTGATCACTACGGTTGCTGTCCAGAAGCGACATGTCTTCAATCGCAGACCTGCTCTCCCCTTTGGCGACACCAAGCGGGGATCTCCAGGTTTGGTATCCGGTGCCCAGGTTCTTCCATTCGAAGTCTGTACGATCGCCGAAACGCTTCGCAAGCCTTAGGGTCCGGCTGAAGAGCATGTGGCCGGCGGTTTTGATCTCCGAACGAAGGACGGACAAGTCGAGGCCACCCGGCATCTGGTTCGGCCAACACACCGTGGTGATCACCTCGAAGAGTTTTTCCGGCAGAATCTCGAAACTCAAGCCCAAGATGGCGGCCACTACAGGCTGGATCTTCACTACGAACGTCACTGACAGGCACTTCTCGACTGCCAGCTCGCCCGTGTAGAAGGAGTACCCCTGCCACTTGTTCCAGTTCTCCTGGCAGGCGCACGCACCAAGTCTCACGACCCCAGGCTCGCTCACTAAACTCACAAAACAGTCCCGACAGCTTGCTGATGGCATTGTGCCAACATGAAGCCATGCAGGCTAGAAATCCCTCTCCTTCATCCAGGTGTTGTCGCAGGGCACCGCCCAGGGCTCCAGCTGGACGAAGTCCTCCTTCTTTGCCGGCGTCCAGTCGTCTTTCGTCGCTTCCTGGTGGTTGCCAGCATGGGCCCCGTTCTTGGTTCGGGGAGCAAAAGCCAGGCAAGTCTCCGAATTGGCCTCCCTGCCATTGAACTGGGTGATCAAACTGGAGAGGTGGACATCACCACCAGGCTGAAATGCTGGCATTGGCACTCCCTGCTGCCCCTGTCCCGAAACGAACTGCAACAGCGAGGGGTGCATTTTTTGCGAGTGCACCTCCACGACCAGATTCCCCTGCTGGTGCCGCACCGGCATGTTTCCGACGGGCGGGAATTGGGACACACTGGCCTTCTCGATAAGGGAAGTGCCTCCCTTTAGAGCCTTCATTGCCAAGGAAGTGCCCGCCTTGGCGAAGAACTCGAGATACTCACCGATCACGTCACCTAGCTGGTTCAAGTAGCTCAGAGGAGGTACCCGCTCCATCATCTTGAAGCCTAGGCATTTCATGACTTCATGGCCGGACTCGATGTTTTGGCAATCCATCAGGTCATCCCCCATGGCCATCAAGCTCTTGACGGAGTTGACATTCGAGCCGGCAAGAACGCCAACCGGAAGGGGCATGAACTTCAGCGGCGGCTCGAACTGCATGACGTGGCCTGCCACACGCTTGGCCATGCAGTGGAAAATGTCGCCTCTGTTGCAGTTAGCGGTGTTCAGAAGATCACGGATCATCGCGAAGACTCTGTCAACACCCTCCTGGCCCGCATTGACAACAGTGTGCAACTGCTGGGGCAGCCAGTGAAAGACGTGCTGTGCCATGCATTCGAAGGTGTTGCCTCGATCGCAGTGGGCTGTGTTCAGAAGATCACGGATCATGCTGAACAGCCTGTCGACACCCTCCTGGCCCGCATTCACAACTGTGTGCAACTGCTGGGGCAGCCAGTGAAAGATGTGCTGTGCCATGCAGTCGAAGGTGTTGCCTCGATCGCAGTGGGCTGTGTTCAGAAGATCCGTCATCATGCTGAACAGCCTGTCGACCGCCTCCTGGCCTGCATTGACAACCGTATGAAGTTGATGAGGCAAGAAGTTCATAGGTGGCTCGAACTGCATGACGTAAGTTGCGACACGTTTGGCCATGCAGCGGAAGGTGTCTCCGTTGCAGTCGGCGGTGTTCAACAACTGCCCAGACATGTCTACGAGCTTGGTGACCGTCTCCTCACTTGCCCTAGCAACCGTACGGATCTGCTCCGGCAAGTGGTCCAACGGATTCGGCAAGTACACGCTTGCTTCTTGCCAGTTGGTTTTGAAGAGCTCGATCTTTTTCCCAACGAGCGTGACCTCGCAATCCAGGTTGCCGAAGTTGATGATATAACGGGGGCGACCGTGGGATTCGTACCTGAAGCTTGGCACCTCGGCGTTGCAGTTCTCCGAGAACTCGAAGCCTTTGAAGGCCATGAGAATGATCCTTGCCTTGTCGACGGTGTCGATCACCGTCTTCTGAACAAACTCAATTGCTTTGAGATTGCCCTTTTCCTTGACCTGGTTGAATGCGTCTTTCAAAGCCCCACCCGTCAGTCCTGTGCCATCCACTTTCTCGACCGCCTTGCCGACCGTGGACGAATACAGGTCCTTGAGAAACTTGCTGGAAAGGCTATCATCCAAGAGCTGCTCTGAAGCCTCTTCCGCTTCCTTCCTCGAGCTCCGCGCCTGGAGGCAGGTCACAGGCCCTAAACCCTAAATCCTAAGAGAGGCCGAGGCACCCCAAACCCGAACCCTGGCCTGACGTTGCAGCAACGCCTCCGCGGCGCCTTCAGGCGCAGCTCCTGCCGGAGGCTCGGAGTGATCCTCGGCCTCAAGGTCCTCGAAGTGCAGGGTTGGGGCTTTTTGGGTTTAAGGCTTTTGAGGTTCTCCGGCTTTTCAGGGGTGTTCGGGGGTTTTGGGGTTCAGGGCTCGAACCTTTAGAGCTCTCCTTGTGGGCATCGGGATCGTAGTTGCGCGTCTCGCGCTGGTGGTGATGCTTCTCCAGGACTTTTCTCCAAACCTCCGCTGCTGCGTGGGGATCCCGCGACTTCTTCTGCGCCATTGCGACGTGTTGGACGTCCAAGCCTTGGCTGCTTGCAAAGAGAGCTTCACGCACGTCGGAGCCCACAGCAAACGGGGACCGACAGCGCGGTCAAGCAACCAACGTGCTCTTTCAAGGAATCGATTTCGGATGCGCGGCTGTGAGCTCGGCTTGCTGCAATTGCACCACTGTCTCCAACTGCGCCACCTGCAAACAGAGTTTGGATGAAGAAGGCCGACATGTCAAGAATTACTTGGATGCAAGACTATGCGGGACACATGGATTTCATCACGCACCTTGAGCAGCAGGAACTCCAAATTGCGGGCCAGATCACCGAAGGAACTGTTGGTGGCATTGCCCTGCTGCAGCTATGCATGAGCGCAAGCTTTACACGCGATGTGCGACTGAAAAACCCAGCAGAAGCAGAATACTTCTCGCTGTCACAGATTTCAAAACTTGCCGCAGGCCTGATTTGGCTCGGGCATTGAGTTCGCTTCACCTGCATCATGCGCCAGGTTCGTCTCCAACAATCGCTCCACCTAAGCCGTCAGGAAGAAACTCGGAAACATGTGACTCCCGGGGCACTATTCGGACTGTCATGCCATTGTTAGCATTGTGATTCTGATCGTGATTACGATTAAGTATGATCATCATTAGCCCTAAACCCTAAACCCTGAACCGTTATTGTCCTGATTCTCATGAACTGTGATCCGGCCTCCTGAGCCACGGTGGGGTCTTGCGAGTTGGTGATATTGATGGGCGACTCGGACAGCTTGTATGCTTGGACACCGGAATGCCCGGAGAGCCATCCAAGCGGCCCGACCCACCAAGCAAGCACCAGAAAGCGGGTCACCTTGAGCTCAACACGAGGTGGTCGTATTGCTTACTGAGTCTTGCACATGTTGAAAAAACGAAGAACTGTGCGACGACCAAGTCCACGTGTCATTGCAGTTCCCTCCGCAAGAATCTGACCCTGAAACATTCCTCCGGCTTTCCGGTTTTGATGGTCGAACGAACAGACAAGGCTCTGCACTACAATGGAAAGCTACAAAGAAGCTGATACTTGACCCGGCTGAACCTGATGCGTCGTCCTCCAACTGCAGACCCTCGCACAACTCACTTCCGTGCAAGCTCAGTCATCTGAATCATGCCGGAGCAAAGAGGTGTGCCACACGAAGTTTGCTTCATTCAGGATGAAAAAACTTATGAGCAGACGGCTGCATGTCACGCATGGTTAAGACTCGCACTACCACATAAACAAACACACACACACAAGACTCTTCTCCACAAACTGCTTCCACAGTGTCAGTGCAACGTCTATGTCGAACTGAGACTCAGGATGACCCTGCCAGTAGCTGACACTGCAAAGCAAAATATGCTGAAGAACATCTCCGACCAGACAAGGATCAGTTTTGCCGCATGTGACTGCGTGGCAAGGAAGAATGTCAGAAGAATTGATGCTTCAGCACCAGTCCAGCAACCAGACCGAAGTGCCAGCCCCCCAGACTCCCGGTGAGCATACCCGGGACAAACACCTTACGAAATTTTGCCGGGCGCCGCGTTTCGTCATGCTCCTCCGCAGACTCCGCCTGCCCCTCCCGCTCGCCCTGAAGCGCTGTCCCTGGGCGCTTGGATGAGTACGGCGACCATCG